TGCTAACACGCATACACATGGTGGTGTACACTTGGTGGTGTTGGTACATTTACAAAGGAGGTGGTGTTTGCAGGGGTGAGATGGGTTTGTGGATTCGGCGCTTTCGGGAAAATAGAATGCCTATTTTCTATTGCGCCGGATGCAAGTTCTTGTGGTTAGCATATTGGAGCAAGGGTGATGAAGTTAGAAGTGAAAGCGAAAGTTAGTCGCGAAGATGTTTGGCGTCGGTCAATCGACCGGATGACTGGATCTGAATGCTGCCGGACTTATTTGGCGAGTCTGCGTCCGGTCCAGCCGACGTATCGATGACTGATGAAAGTTAGAGAGTGTGGCCGTGACTGGCGTGCGTCCGATCAAATGTGACCGGACGCGTCCGGCCGAGGTCGGATCTTTTTTTGAACGACCGGACGCCGGGGTTCAGCGTCCGGTCGATTGAAAAGCTCGCTGCGTCCGGTCAAGTCAAGCGACCGTTAGGAACCGGGACACGTGGGCCGTCTCTGAGGCGCCCGGACGCCGAGGTCCAGCGTCCGGTCAACACGACAGAGCGTCCGGTCAGCCCGACCGTTGCCCAGTGAAGGGGTAATGGCTAGTTTAGCCCTTGGGGCTATAAATAGAAGTGGCCCTCGGCCATGGTCAGTCTTGAGCACCTCAAGGGACTTAGTGTCCATGCTTGTGAGTGCTTGGGAGCCCTCCATCATACACATACTTGATAGCGATCATCCGATTGTGTGAGTGAGCGATTCTAGTGCGATTGCATCGTGAGGTTGCATCGAGTGGCACTAGGTGATCGAGTTGCGAGCCGGTGGTGCTTGTTACTCTTGGAGGTTGCCACCTCCTAGGCGGCTTAGTGGTGGTCTCCGTCGAAGCACGCAAGAAGCTTGTCTTGGCGCTCCGGAGAAGTGCTTGTGAGGGGCATTGTGCTGCGCCCAGAGAGCCGCATGAAGAGCAACTCTAGTAAAGCGTGTCATTGAGCTACCCTCACTCAAGAGGTAGGTTCTTGCAGGCGCCCGGCGTGCGGGCTTAGCGGGTGATGCTAATTAGCCGCCCGAACCACCAAGTGGCGGTCGACACTGGCAGGGGACTAGCGTGTTGGCAAACACGTGAACCTCGGGAGAAAAATCATCGTGTCAACCTTGTTCTTCCCGTTGGTTTGCATCCCATTACACAAGCTTGCAATTACTTATATATATCTTAAGCTTGTGTAGTTGCTCTTGTAATTAGATAGCTTGTGTAGCTAGCTAATTACCTTCTTGCTTGTGTAGCATAGAAGTAGCTCCCTTGCGTGGCTAATTTGGTTTTAGTAACCTTGTTAGTCGCATTGCTTAGTTTATGTAGCTAAGTATTTGCGCTCTCTAATTAGGCGTTGGTTGCCTTGTTATTGAGCATTGCTAGTGAGCTTAGTGAGCTTTGTGCTTTTGCTTACTAGCATGTGTAGGAGCTCTCTTGTTACTTAAAGTACTAGTGGCATAGGTTTGTGTGACCTTGCTCCTAAAATTGTTTAGGAGAGCTCTAGCTAGCCCGGCTCCTTAGTTGCTTTATTAGTATCTTTGCAAGGTGCTAGTGAACATATATAGAGGGGTGTAGTCTTGGCTAGACCGATTGTTTTAATTCCGCATTTATATCGGTTAGCCGACGTGATTAATTTTAGAAAAGACTATTCACCCCCCTCTAGTCCGCCATCTCGACCTTACACTTGTGAGTATAGAGTCAATCCCACTCTCTATTTTTGGCTCACGAGAAATTCAGAATAGATAAAGACAATATATAGAGATCTAACAAAGAAGCTATTCGAGAGCATGTTTTCACTTAAATCTCTTTTTTTATCAATAAGGAAGATATAAATGGGGGTGTTTAGGACCGTTTCAATCCATGTTTTTTAGCCAGACAGGTTCAGCTTCATACAACTCTACTCTAGAAAAAGGTGGAGTTAGAGCATCTCCAAGAATTCGCTAAACATCCTCCTAATCCTTGTTTTTAAAAAGATGAGAAAAAAACCTTCTCCAACAACTTCTAATATTTTTTCCTAATCTTTTAGGACTTGGGAAATTACTCTCCCTTCCGCGTAACTTTACACGGACGAAGCCCCGCGCGGAGACGCCGTTCCCGTGGAGTCCTTCTTCACGCGCTCGCCTTCGGTGTCCTCCTGTGTGCTCCACCTTCGATGTCCTCAGCCCCGAGACGCGCTCGCCTTCTACAAGTCGGGCCGCCAGAGACACACACACTCTTTGGCGTCGTCGGACCGTCGAGGTCAGCGCTCCTTCCAGCGATGGGGCCACTGAACCGCGCTCCTCGTGACGGTGCCACACAAGCTTCACCGGCTCCTCGACGCCCCGTGGGCCCAGCTAAGCGGTTGTTGCCCCTGGGCGCATCACTTCACGACAAATCCGGCGGAGGGATGAGTGGGGTCGACGGGTGAGGGGATGAGGTGGCGGACGGCTACTGCTTGTTGGTGAAGCCGGTGCTTGAGGATGGAGTGGGCGGGCGAGGCCGGGTAGAGGCGACAGCGTCGTATGGATGAGCGGTGCGAAGTGAGGCCAGGCGATCGCGAAAGGAGCCGGCACATGGTGCGTGTTGGGGCTATGCACAAGATATCGAGAAACGTCTTGGGAGAGGAATTGAGGAAGAGACGAGAAAAAAAGAAGAAGACTGCAGAAAAAAAACGTCAAATGAGACCAACATTTGATTTTTTAGAATTCAAATATTAGGAACTATTGGAGATCAACTTTTTTTCTCTAAAACCTTTTTAGGAGTTGACAAATATAGACTTTTTAGGAGAAATATTTAGGGAACTTTCGGAGATGCTCTTATGACAACACCTAAAAGATGCTCCATAAGCATCAAGAGTTCTTTTTAAGCAGCTTTATTATGAAAAAGTTTGCGGAGCAGAGTTTGGAACCGTCCTAAATAGCTCCGAAAGACTTTGAAATTGCCCTTATACAATATACCTAAGACTATCTCCAACGGAGTACCCAAACCGTGACCCATCCGTATTTTGCGTAGTGCACAGTGCTTTTGCGGAGAAAAATCACCCTCCAACAGACTACCCAAACACAGCAGCCATTTTGCGTCCAACGAAACACGGTACGCAAACTTGTGTCCTCTCTCGTTCCCTTTGCGTCTCCTCCACGCAGGCGGGTCCCACCACCACGAGCTCGGGGACGACCGTCGCCGGGGCCGAGCTCGCCCGCGCCGGGACGGAGCTCGCCGGGGCCGAGCGCGCCGGGACGGAGCTCGCCGGGGCCGAGCTTGCCGGGGAGGGAGGATCCTGCCGGCGAGGTCCGCCTGCGGTGGAGCGTTGCGTCCGTTGTTGGAGACGTGAAGTTTTGGGTACGGGATCTATAACAACGAATGTGTCCGGTATTTTGGTACGGGCGGTTGGAGGCAGTCTAGTAGGCCCAAAACGAATAGCCTAGATTGTTATGGAAACTCGCCTGGGCAAGCAACCAAACAAGCTCAATCCGCGTGCACATGCCGAAAACAAATCAGCCCAAAAGCCTAGATTTGGCGGTTTTCTGTACCGGGCCAGGCTTGCGACCGCCGCCATGGCGCCGCCCTACTCCCAGAATCCCAGCTGCCCAGGTCTTCGTCGGACTCTTTGCCGGCGTCCGGCGACGAGCACCCCACCACAGTCCACACACCAGGTATCCCCGCCCCCTCTCTTCCGTTCATTCTATGCAAAACTGAGCACCCGAACCCTATTTTATTTTAATTTTAGCTTCTAGACGCAAGGGTTAATTCAGCCCCTGTGTTTTCTGTATTTTGTTCTACTGTTCCTATTCATTCAATCTAGGCTCTTAAAACCGACTTAATTCTGTTTCTCTCCATCGTTAAGTCAGTATTCACTGAAGTTCCACTGAAATTTAAGCAGACTCCGTTCCTTTCATTTTCATTCCAATGAAATTCATCTAACTGAATGAACTTCGTCCAAAGCCCGTGTATTCATATCATCTCTCTAGTTGTCACGGAAATTAACAACTGGACCTAGCATTAAGTAAGAAGTTGAATTTATGCTGTCACAATTACTTTAATTATTAAATTATAACTATGTCATTGCACCATGAGTTTAAATTATCAAATTAATCTATTAATTTGTAGAGTTCACATGCCAATATTTCAATTATCCTTGTTCCATAATTTCAATAAAGTTTCACTTTCAAAAATTCAAATTGAATATTTTATGCTGACCTTTCGGCGATGTTGTTATGATGCAATGATGTTCCAATTATCCTCTACTTTCACCTAAATTAATTTTAATCCATAACCCTGCCGGATCAGTTGGATATTATCTACATTATATGTACCACTTTGTTCATGTAATCTCATGAACATTGTGCCTTGGCACCCAAATCATACCTGACCATTGATTGTGCTAAGAGTTTGAGACTATGCTCCATCGCTGGCTGATGGTGATAGCAATTCTAAACTTCAGGGCCTTGTGAGAATAAAAATAAAAATAAAAATGGGTTCAGTATGGTATGAACTTGTTGCTTATTGCTAGAGGAGCCATCAATTGTACACAAGTCTATTGGGGTAGTTTGTGATAGTTCTGGCACACGTTCAAAGCAGGGAGGTAATAGCAGTGGGGTAAACTTGGGTGGTGTTTGGAAATCCGTGCAAAGAGGAAAGCTCAAACTGTGTAGTATTTTTGGGTTACAGCCATCCAGTAAGTACACCTCTATTATAGAGTTGTTAAGCTAGTGTCTTTGTGCTAAATTGGTATCCAAACTTCAAGGTAGTCTTGAAAAAATGTCATATTTTTGTATGCAGGTCTTTGTATACATGGACATATGGTATCAGCTACGAAGTACTTACTGACTCAACTACTTAATTGTTCAACTATAATCTTAATTGCTGTCTTAAGTTTGGTTGTTAGTTTGCTTTTTGGGAAATCCAAACAAACTTTTAATTAGTTTCTGAGGAAAACATTTTTTAGGCCAGTGAAACCAAAAATAGTCCCATCATCTATTTTGTTTTCTATGGCGTTTGTGCAGAAGTGAGACATGGAGGACGAAGAAAATGTTGAGGAGGAACTGTTGCTTGTGGAGTCAGAACTTGATGACATTCAAGGTATGATCACAATAATAATACTAATGAATCATTCACTACATTATCGTTTCTTGATCCATAAACACTTAACAGTTGATAGCTAGTAATTATTGATACATTCATATTTTTCTGTGACTATTCATCTGCATCAGCTACTTACTGAATTATTGTTTATATAGATGAATATATGTTAATGGACATGACAGTTCCTTTGTTTTTTTTTACTTCCCTTTTCTTTGGTCATGGGTTAAATTAATGACCACTGTGCTCTCCTTACAGAAGGTTTTATTTAACATCAAATGAACAGCAGCCAGGTTTTCTGGTCGTACTTTCTTAATTACACTTTTTGAATGCTACTGATATTTTTGTGGACAAGGAGTGCTACTGTGTTAATTTGCACAGTTGAAATGCATGCTTTCCAGGACAAATTAAAAGATTACTCGATCGCCAAGAGGAGTTGTATGAGCGCCAGTCACTGTTAAAGGCTTTGCTGGAAGTATCAAAAGTGTCCAGAAATAAATCAAATAACAAATCTTCAGTTATTCTGGAGGACTGGTCTGGGAACTTCCCATGGGATTCTCAGGCTGATGATACCCGATTCAATATATTTGGCATCACATCATACCGGTCAAATCAACGAGAAGTAAGTTAATCGGAGAAATGGTCTGTTTTATAAATCGTTCCTTTTGGGCAGTCCTAGGTATAATATAAAAGAAATATGCAAGTTTCTGTTTTATTTTTGAACCAAGTGTAATTCTAAAACTGGTCCATTACTGAAGAACAGATGCCTGAGGTGTTTGGGTTATCTATGATTTTTACCCTCTGATTCCTCCAATATACCTATCGTTTTGGTTCTTTATAATGGTCTTTTGATTTCCATTTCTCCAACATCCCTGTTTTCTTATATTGTTTCTATTTAGTGTTGATCCTACTTTACATCCATATGCTATATAACATTGGATAGTTTCCTTTTATTTGCATTCTTTTAAATCATATTGTGCTTACAGATAATTAATGCAGTCATGAGTGGAAGAGATGTTCTAGTAATAATGGCTGCTGGTGGAGGGAAGAGCCTGTGTTACCAACTCCCAGCTGTACTTCGTGATGGAATTGCATTGGTTGTCAGCCCTCTACTTTCTCTTATCCAGGACCAGGTTGTTAGGCTGTAAGCATTTTTTTTTTCTTTCCCTAACATGCTCGTGCTCATTCTCGGAAAGTTATGCCATTCTAGGTCATGGGACTGGCAGCTTTAGGTATACCGGCATACATGCTGACTTCAACTACCAACAAGGAAGTTGAAAAGTTCATCTATAGGGCACTTGATAAAGGTGAAGGAGAGCTGAAGATATTATATGTGACGCCAGAAAAGATATCAAAAAGTAAAAGGTTCATGTCCAAGGTTGAGAAATGCCATCATGCGGGACGTCTTTCTCTTGTTGCAATAGATGTGAGTGATGATGAAACTTGTCTCTATTAGTCCATATTGTCTGAAATTGTTTGACTCTTAAAAATCCTTTTTTCTGTTTCTTATGTAAGTTACAAAATTCTTAATGTCTTCGAGCTACTCGTATGCAAGATCGTGTGATTCCTTGCAGTTAATTTTTTAGAAACATTAATTTGAAATTATATCAGAATAATAAATTGTTTGCTTTATGACAAAGTATCTTTATGCTGTTTTAGTTTGGACTACGTGTTTGTAGCTGTAGTTGCTTACTCTTGGTATCTTTAAGAATTTCCATTGAAACACTAAGTTTCCTACTGATACTAGAACCGATGGTAGCTAAAAACAGCAAGCCTGCTATCACAAATTCCTAATCTGTTCAGCTTGATCAACCCACGTAAAAGGAATAATCATCGACAACTATTCTTTTCACTGTCAACATTTTCAAGCTGTTTGTATTCTTTATTATACAGTATGTTTCCCATTGCGAGAATATGCAAAGAACCTATCAATGCATGAGCATATCTTGTGTCCTTTTCAAGTGCTATTTAATCTATCTGTATTCTGGTATCATCATTGTCATTTGCAAGTGACAGTTATCATGCAGGAAGCACATTGCTGTAGTCAATGGGGCCACGATTTCCATCCAGACTACAAGAATCTTAGTATTTTAAAGATCCAATTTCCCAGTGTTCCCATGATAGCTCTAACTGTGAGTAACGAAGAAATCCTAATAATTTTCAAGTTTAGAAAAAATAAAGTTGTGTGAACTAGCCTGCAATACATTGTAGGCAACTGCAACAAGTAAAGTCCGAACAGATTTGATAGAGATGCTTCATATACCCAGATGCGTCAAATTTGTCAGCACAGTAAACAGGCCCAACCTCTTTTATAAGGTAGTATATGTCTTCCAAATCTGCAAGTTTTGATATTTTATTTTTTATTCTTTATTTATAATTATGAGAAATAATGCAATGGGGATAAAGAGGGATTAATTATCTTCCTTATATTTATATGATTTCTTTACCCTGTAGGTGTATCAAAAATCACCAGTTGGAAAGGTTGTCATTGATGTGATTGCAAATTTTATAATTGAATCGTACCCAAATAATGAATCTGGAATTGTGTATTGCTTTTCAAGGAAGGAATGTGAACAGGTTGGCACAACGAACCATGAATCACTCTGTTTCTGTTATTTGCTAAAATAATCTTAAAAGTTTTGATATCTATAACTGCTGCCTCCACAGTGTGGTCAAACTGAGAATAGATAAATCATTGCTTCAAGGATATATATTTTGGAACTTTGATTCATGAGCAAAACAAATGTTCATAAATTTCGATACTGTATTGTTTTGAAATTTTCTGATTATATAGTTAAAGCAAAAATAGCTGGTACAAACTATTCTTCCATTATGTCAATGAGTTTCTGAAAAGTATGTTACATCTCTTTTTGTTTTCGAAAGATGTTCCATCTCTTTTATGGATAGAGTAATTTTTTTATATTTTAATATTGTAATAATGTTTTTGCAGTATGCAATAGCACATGGTTGTCATATCAATGTATAATTTAAAAAAATGATGTTGAGTTTATGACTATGTGCTATACCCTTTCTGATTACTTTTCCCCCTCTCGAACCACTATTCACCTACCCTTCGTAAATTATGTGCTTTTTGAGAAATTGGTTGCAAAAGAATTGCGCGATAGGGGTGTTTCGGCAGAGCATTATCATGCTGATATGGATATTGTTGCTCGTGAGAAAATTCACATGTGGTATGTACAAAATTCCCCTTGTATGCTTTTGTTGATTTCTCCAATACAGCAATTGTCCTGTTGCTATGGTGAATGCCCTCAGTGCAACACAGTGTTTAAAAACATGGTGACAGCGATTGCTGTACTATGGCTGTATTCTGGCATAAATGGTCTAGCTGCCCAGGCAGTGCTGGGTGGTTTTCGATGCTGCTGTTCTATCCTTGGTGGGTGGCAGGGGTGTCAGCTCTGCAGCTGGAGCTGGAGAGGTGCAGCTACTGGGTAAAGGAAGCAATGAAGCAGTGGTATAAAGGAGGGGGTGGCAGTAGTAAAATGGAGGAGCCTATTGTCACCTTTTAAGTGGTGTATACTTGGGCTGGGTGAGCCAAAAGGTTAGGCCCTACTTAGTGACGGAAACATAAGCCTTTTTTTTGGTAAACCTTCCACTTCAAGTCTTCATCCTTCTTCTACTAGTTTATTTATTCAGACACTGCCACATGCTTGTATTTCAGTGCTAGCATGCCTTTTTCTAGTCTCTTCCCCTCCTTCCTCTCTCTTGCCTTAATATGACTGGCATCGTTAATATGGAAAGGATTGAGCGCTTGCTTGTGGTCATCTCATACCAGTTAATCTCCACAGAAGGCATGGATTCGAACAGGAACTCCAAGTGGCGAATCTGACAAGATACTCTTTGTGACAGTCGGCTGGGATGCATGGGACTCGATCAAAGGACGTAGCTCCAGTTATTTCCAATATCTCCAAGAAGAAAAACAAAATGCTTAGAGAAGTGCTAGAAGGCCTAATTTACGTACTAGTGTCACAGTAGTCACCTCCTGTAGCCAACCACCTTCATTGCAACCCCCAAACTGCTGAATTGCCTTTTTAGCATCCCTGTTACTTGAAACTCCTTTTAGATTTTATGTCTTCCATAGTACGATCTACATAACAAGCATCTTTTTTATTGTAAATAGTATATACAACACATCATATTCCAATCTAACTAAAAGAAAGATTGCATGATGATATGGCTGCTCTCATGTATTTACACAGATTAATAGTATAGTATTGTGAAGATTTTCTGCCAATTGCTCTTTGGCTTAGGCCTTTAGAATTTAGAATATATTCATGGTCAAATATTAGAAAGTATGATTGCATGGAATCTAACATGTCGTAGAAGCACTTCAGGGAGTCTTTAAAAAATGTCAACGTCATATAAAAAAGAATAATTTAGGGAGTATTTCTATAAGAGCTGCTTTATTGCACACATTTTTTTTGTAATTCAATGCCATGATTTGGTACTGAGGTAATCCACATTATCTTTTAAATAGTTGGAGCAAAGGACAATCACAGATCATCGCTGGAATAGTATGTGCTTGTATCTCTCTGGGTGGGTGGGTGGTGTGGTTCTGTGCTACTCTGTCTCTAATAAGATTTTTGTGTCTGTATGGTGGACTATTTAGGTGGCGTTTGGCATGGGAATCAACAAACCAGATGGTGTGTTCAATCTCAGAGTTCGATCATTATGATTGCTTGTTGTCAGAATTCACATGAATATGTGTATAATTAAGTTATACAGTAGGTTTCTTAAACCAGATTAAGGGCCTGTTTGGATACACATAGCTAGTTACTAGTTGGGGCTAAAAATTAGCCCAAATTAGCTATGGTTGGCTAGCTAGTTGGCTAACAACTAGTTGGAGACTTGGCTAAAAAATTAGCCCACCTATTAGCTCTCCTGTTTGGATGTTCTAGAGCTATTTTTTTAGCTAGCTAGTAATTAGCTCATGTATCCAAATAGGCCCTAATTTGGCATTTTATTGGTCACACTACTTGTGTGCATGGCTCCCAAAGAAATTAGAAAACAGAAATGGGAGTGAGGACAAAAATGAATTGCCCTGTTTTTGCCAGAAATCACCTTGTTTCTGGTCAGCAAACTGAAGGGCGCTGGTCTTCTAGTTTCCATACATGGGAAATGCTATGCCAATAATTTACCACTGTATCCATGTGTACTTGTTATTCCTGCCCTTACTCGCAGAGTCGTGGTAATACTGTTTCATAGTCTCTGTTATAGTTTAGTTGAGAATGTTTAGCCATTCCATGTAAAATGTGCTCGTTCTAGGGTATTAGAATGTCAGCTCATCATGTGAAAACATGGATTTTTATGTCAATAAGCATTTCCCTTGAACTGGTAGAGACCAATGAGGCAGTAACATCTAATTTCTTCTATCACATGAGTAATGGTTTCAGTATTTGTCATTGCTTTGCTCTCAATAAAGTGTCTAAGAAATGTTTTTTTCCTTGTAGTTAGATTTGTGATTCATCATAGCCTTAGCAAGTCTATGGAGACATACTACCAGGTTGGTTAATATCACACCTTGCTAGTTACACAGTCAAATATCCCTTCTAATAAACCTATCTGTCTTCAGGAAAGTGGTCGGGCAGGGCAGGATGGATTACCTTCAGAGTGTGTTTTGTATTATCGACCTGGTGATGTTCCACGGCAGGGAAGATTAAATTTTCTGCTTTTCTCTCAGTGTAAGTCTAGTTTTCATCACTATATGTGCTATGTTTTCGATGAACAGAGTTCAATGGTCTTCTATGAAAACTGTGGCCTTCAAAATCTATATGACATTGTGCGATACTGTCAGGTAAGCTCCCATTTTCCTCAGAAATACTATGGCAAATCTTTAGAGTGTCTACTGAATTAGTATAAGGTCATCTTCTATTTGATTTCTTTTTTCCAGTCCTTTGAACATAAAAATTTATTTATGTCAGTCTCTTTGCTACAAACAACTGTATATGCTACAAACAACTGTATAATCAAGCCTTTCTTTCAATCACATACCACAATAATAACAGTGGGTCTACCTATCTGGATAGTGATCGTAGAACACTACTACAGGTTGCTATTACTGAAGTGGCACAAACATGTAGTGGATCAACCTACCTTTCAGAAACCGTGCTAGGTTGAACAGCATGAAGTGTTGACGTAACCATTTCAAATTCTGTGAGTTTGCTAGGTAGCATAGAAACCATGGTAAACCACAGAAGGCTCAATGGTTCTCAGGAATACATTCTCTCAACATAAAATAGGACAATAGTTGGTCATGTAGTAGAAAACAAAATTGTGAAGTTCTACAGTATACTTTCTCTTGATGATGTAGGATTTTGATAACAGAAATTACCTATCCCATATCCATACTCTTTGTACAGATAAAAAGCATCAAGTAAAAAGTAATGGATGGAGTAACCGTTGTCACAGGCCTTCAGTAGCATAGACATACTGTAAATCTTGTTGGAGGCAAGGAGCCTGTAGCCTAGTGGTTGCAGTGACCTTAGTAGCACCCCAGGTCCTGGTTCGAATCCTCGTGGGAGCAAATTTTAGGCTGGGTAAAAGAAAGGTCACTCTCTGGTTCCCCTAGTCAGCATGTGTGAACCGACCTGTGGTGGCCCTCGTAAGGGTCTGGTAGTGGCCTCAAAGCACAGGTTAAGGCCCAAACCATAGGAGGCAGCATCCCCATGTATGAGGGGCCCAGCTTTCATGTGACCTTTCTCAGCTAGGCTTCGGTTAAGCTCTTCTTAGTAAAATACTGCGGGGGCGGTCTTTCCCCACCGGCCAAGTATTTTTTAGAGCTTCTTGGAGGTGGGATTCTACTAATTTGATGTGTTTCTCAGAAAATGTCCTAAATAATCTCAAATAGTGGAAGTGCATCTAGCACACTTTGTATTTAAGAAACAATGGATTAAGTTGTTTCTGTAGTGTTGTTTTCTGTATAATGTGATGGCAAGGTTTTTGTTTTCCCAGTCTAAGAGCTGCCGACGTGGTGCTTTCTTTCGGCATTTTGGAGAGGCTCTGCAGGACTGCAATGGTATTTTCATGATACTTTATATTTTCTCAGGAGCTAAACATTTAGCTATCAATATTTACAGAATTTCTTTTTGCAGGAATGTGTGGCAATTGTGCTTCTAGTATTGAGCTCAGGGATATAGATGCCACATGTATGATAATTTTGCCTTAAGTCAGAAATTACATTTAATGGACTATAATTTGAATTTTTCATCTATTCTTTTTGTTCATATTCCCACATTGATTTATGTGACTGTTGTTCAGGCCATACCAAAATTCTAGTTTCACTTCTACACAACTTGCAACTTAATGACCAAAGAGCTACACTGTTGCAGCTGGTGGATAAGTTCAAGGTGAAGTGGAAAGGTTTAGGTATAACTCTAGAAAATCTTTCAGGAGTATGTTGTGCTTATTAGGTGTTATGTCATCAGTCATCATCCAGAAGTTTGTTTAGTGTCGTATTGTAAACTGCATATGTTGAAGCAGGTCGCTCGAATCAACCTGTTGATCTTAAAAGAGAAGAAATTGAGCAGTTGATAGTACAGCTTATAGTTGACTGCGTTTTGGTATGTGCGTGCTACTAGTAGTACCAAGTGAATATTTTTTAGTGTATCTTGTTGTTTGATCACCTTATACATTATTGCTAAGGTAAGATTGTTTCTTGCACTTTCAGAAAGAAGAATTTCAACATACAGCATATTCGACCAATGCTAATGTTGCATTGGGACCATTGTGGAAGCCAGCGCTGGAAGGTAAAATACTGGATCATACTTGTAATAAAATATTACTGCCAACTGCTGATGGACTCCTTGGTCTTTGCAACGCAGGGAACAGACCAGTGAAGCTTGAGATTGCTGTTTTGGGTTCTCAAGCTAGAGCCGGAGGTGGTGATACGACCAAAGGCACAAAACGTAGCCGAATGAGCGATCTGGAAGCTAAACTTGATGAACTGCGCAGGGAGTTGTCATCCTCTAGTACCGGGGGCATAAGCATATTTTCCCATGCAGTTCTCTCCACTCAGCAGATTTCGCTCCTGAGCTGCCAGAAGCCCACCACTGAGGCCGAGGTGAGGTGTTTGACATCTTGCATTGCAAGCGAGCAATTTGGACCTAACATAACATGATGTGCGTTCCATCTATCCTAACCAGCTGGAGAAGGCCATTGGGAAGGTGAAGACCAAGAAATATGGCGGCAGGATCATTGAGCTGATGCGGTCCCATATTGCCGATCCAGGAGCTGGCAATGGATCTGATGCTAAGCGGAAGCCCAAGAAAGATAATGCTGTGATTGAGCATTCGGTTTTCGTAGCGGTTGCTTGTGCAGCGTGAAACACCCGCTTGTACACCTTGCGGTCTACTGCCTTTTTCTGCATTATTAGGCCATGTACTTTTTTATGACTGGTGGTCCGATGCGCCTTGGCGAGCAGTGTGGTTGCAGTTGCAGTGTAAACTTTGCTTCCTTCTCTTATCCTATTTGATTATTACTAGGTATAGAGCTCATGCCTCGTTCAGAAAAAGCCCAAAAAAAAAAGAAAAGGGTAGAAAAATAAACTGTAAATAGTCTTCTGCTGAAATGAAAAGCAACCTTGCCAATGGCAAGCGAAGTGTTTGACGGGCACGGCTTGGCTGACGAAGTAGTTTAGCGGAAGCAAGGGCCTGTTTGTTTAAGTTTTGGCTTTTTTGAAAGGGCTTTGGCTTTCTGTAAGCTGGCTTTTCGAAAGCCGGTGTCTGGCAAAAGGCTGAGGCTGTTTGGTTTGGCAACCCAGCTTTTCGGATAACACATGTGTTGGACGAGCTGTATAATGTCTAAACTACCTCTGTCGTCTCATCATCCATTCATTTAAAAGCAATATAAAGTCATTGTCTATTTATCTAAAAAAAATCAAAAGCGTCATCTACTTTGAGACGGAGGGAGTAGTTAGTAGGATTCATATGGAGCCCACTCGTATAAAAAGTAAAAACACCGCATGCAACATACTCCTTACATATTGGTAATTCAGCTCATTTTAGGGGACGGAGTGTTTTCACATATTGAAGTCGTTTTAGTTGTTTGGTTTTCCTTGGAGAGAATGCCCCAGGTCTCTTTGGTTCCTGTGGTACTTATTCACGAGGAGCATTAAAACCATGTCCCTTGGGCTGTCCTTGCCTCTGCTCGTGCGTCTCTTCGGTTGCCTATGCCTCCACTACCCCATCTCAGACAAAGTGTTGGACCAAATGAGCGCCAAGGGTAAAAAATCGAGTGCCTCCAGAGAAATTAAAAACACACCAAGCAAAAGGGAAAAAAATCGCGCCATGCAAAAGGAAAAGAATGGAGCGCCAGAAGGAAAAAAAAAATAAAATCACGCCACCAGAGATCCTAGAATCACCATATGCAAAAGGAAAAGAATCGGCATGAGGGATCGAACCTTGCCCTTCTTACCTCAGGCTCCACCGCGCTAACTAGCGCAACACTGAATGTTTGTACAATGGAAGAAACTCGCAATCCTCTTTAATAAAGGCAAATAGGAAAAAATACGCCCTAATTAATCACTCTATGAGACCTGAATTACCAGTATGGAGGGAGTACTTAAAAAAATTCATGAGGACCCAATGATTCGTCTCTCCCAAAAAAAATACTGCCACACCCTTAAAAAAAGGGTATATCCGCCCTCCCATCCCTCTTATTTCTCCCTCGCTGGCATCCTGCCTCCCCTACCCTTGTGTATTCGGTTGCGGCTGCCTCGCCGCCAACTAGCCCGCCCATATCCGCCCCTGCCTCCTTGAGCCCGCCCTCCCCTAAAGACAAGGAAGGGTGCTGATGGAGAACCTCGTCCACGCCCCGCCCCCACCCCCAAGCCCACCATTGGTAACCGGCGGCGACCTACCTTGCCGTGCCACTCGCAACCCGGCCCCCCGCTCGACCCCGCCCACCCTAACCCTAGGGCAGTGCGCCGGCGAACTCGCCGTGATGCCCTCGCCCCGACCTGGCTCGGTGGGAGTGATTCCAAGTGCATTTGCTTAAGTGATTGCATCTAGTGGCACTTGGGGATTGTTGTGGCTACGGAGTTCTTGTTACTCTTGGTGGTTGCCGCCACCTAGACGGCTTGGAGCAGTGGAGGAGCTTCAGCACGTGTTGGTGATTGTTCGTGGTCGGCTCCGGTGATTGTGAGGGGTCTTGTACCTTCCCCGGCGGAGAGCAAAAAGGTAACTCTAGTGGATTGATCGTGTCATTGAGTTACCTCACTTGTGGGTAGGTTCTTGTGGCGCCATTTGTTGTCTAGGTGTGTGATACCTATTAGCCGCCGAACCACCAAGTGTTGGTCGACACAACAGGGACTAGCGTGCTGGCAAGCACGTGAACGTCAGGAGAAAAATCTTGTGTCTCTTGTGTGATTGGATTTCTCCCGGTGATTGATTGGCTTCATCTTGTGATTGGGTCATTCCTCTTCTTGACGGTATAATCATCCTACTCACTCGTTTACATTTCTTGCAAACTAGTTGTCAAGCTCTTTAGTGTAGTTAGTCTTTGAGAGCTTGTTAGTTTGGTTAGTGTGGCTTTTTAATTAGTCTTTGAGAGCACACTAGCGTAGTGAGTAGTGACCTAGCTTGTTGAGTGCCTAGTGATCACAGAAACTAGAATTATTGGATAGGTGGCTTGCAACCCTTGTAGAGCTAGAGCAAAATTGCATTACGCCATTTGTTGTACTAATCAATTGCTCTTGTGCTTTGTAGAGTTTTTAAATAGGCTATTCACCTCTTGTAGCCATATTAGGACCTTTCAAGTAGTATCGGAGCCATGGTCACCGTTTGATTGAAGGCTTAATAACCTCGATGTCAAAAGATGGCTCAAGTTGTGTTCAACCATGTGGGGGGCAAACCACCGTTCTTTGATGGCACATGCTATGAATATTGGAAGAGAAAGATGAAGATGTATCTTGGTTCAATCAATGATCAAGTGTGGGATGTGACCGAGAATGTTTGTGCAATTATTGATCCCACAAATCACCAACCAAGACAAGGCAAACAAGCAATGCAATATAATGACTCTCAACACCATTTAAAATGCCATTGATTCCAATGTGTTTGAGCAAATCATGGATTGTGAAAGAGCTAGTGACGTGTGAAAGAGATTGGAGGAAACATATGAGGGCACACGGTAGTCAAGAGTGCCAAGTTGTATATCCTCAAGGACAAGTTGACAAGCTTCAAGATGAAGGATGATGAGAGTATTCCAGAGATGTTTTATCGATTGCAAGTGATTGTCAATGACTTGAAGGCTTTATGTGAGAAGATCAATGGTGATGATGTCTCTCATCGGTTCTTGATGTGCTTACCTCCAATATTTGAGATATTGAGATTGATCATCATTAGAGGAGGATTGAAGCAACTAACCCCCAACCAAGTACTAGGTGATGTTATGACACAAAGACATACCATGTAGAAAGGGAAGGGGTTGATCAAGAAGAGAAGAAGGATGAAGACAAGAAGAAGAAGAAGAGTGTAGCATTCAAGGCTAGCTCATCATCCAAGAATAAGGGCAAGTCCAAAAAAGAAGAATCAAGTGAGAATGAAGATGCTAGTGATATTGATGATGAGGCCATGGCTCTCTTTGTGCGTAAGATGGGCAAATTCATGAAGAAGAAGGGCTATGATGCAAGAAAGAGAAGAGATCACAACAAGGAGTATGTAAGAAGATGCTACAAGTGCAAGAACAAGGATCACGTTGTAGCATATTGCCCTTATAATAGTGACAATGATGAGGATGACAAGAAGAAAGAAAAAAAGGAGAGGAAGGAGAAGAAGGAAAAGAAGGAGAAGAAGATGATCTTCCAAAAGAAGAAGAAAGGTGGAGGCTATGTGGTCACTTGGGATAGTGATGGCTCATCCAATAATGGTGATTCTACTGATGGTGACAAGAAGTCTCTCAAGAAGGCACTAGCAAGCATAGCCATCAACAACAAGCAATCCATCTTCGACACTCCATCAACTTGCCTCATGGCAAAACCTACCAAGGTAAAATATGATATGAGTGATAATGATGCTTGTGAAAGTGATGATTGTAGGAGTGATGATGATGATGAGGAGTACACCAAGGAGGAGCTCATGGACATGTTGTAGCAAGTCCACACTTGCTTTGAGATGAAGAGAAAGAAGTGTAAAGAATTACGTAAGAAGGTCAAATCTCTTAAGCAATCCTTTGATGAGCGCAATGCTTCTCATGAGAGTCTAATGGAAGACCATGAGGAGCTTGGTAAAGCTCACACTAAGCTTGAAAAAGCTCACTCCTCTCTCCTCGAGCAAGTCAAGAAGGAGGAAGCCAAGAAGGAGCAAGTGACTGTGTCATATGATGTGGGACTAACATGTGATATTCTTGATGAATCTTTTTATAAGCCCATTGTTGTTGCTCCTACTAACCCTTCTTGTAGCGCTACCACTTCTACTTCACCTTTAAGTGATGGTTTCACTTGTGATGCCTCATTAATGGTGGAAAATGAGACCCTCAAGAAGAAGGTGAATGAGCTCACTCGTGCCTTAGGCAATGCCTATAGTGAAGATGCCCACTTGCTAAAATGCTTGGGTAGCCAAAGGTTTTCTCTCAACAAAGAGAGATTGGGCTATACCCTCAAGAAAGGCAAGGCAACCTTTGTGACTCACAAGACTAGTTTTGTGAAGGGCAATGGTCAGTTTTGCAATAAATGCAAGCAAGTTGGGCATATAGAGCAAGATTGCAAAAACAAGAACAAACATGCTAATGTATCCTCAATTAAGTTTAATTCTTGTTATTTGCTTACTAAGGGTGCCAACGGTGTGCGTGTTAAGTTCATTAGTGCACCAATTGTGGGCTCAAAGAAGAAAGCTATTTGGGTGCCAAAGAGCTTAGTAACTAACCTTCAAGGACCCAAGCAAGTTTTGGTACCTAAAATGAATTGATCTTCTTTTGTAGGTCAATTATAAAGCCGGAGGAAGGCATTGGGTGCTTGATAGTGGGTGCAGACAACACATGACCGATGATTCAAGAATGTTCAATTCAATCAACACAAATGAGAGCAATGGGGTTGATAGCATAACATTTGGTGATAATGGCAAAGGCAAGGTCAAAGGACTTGGTAAGATTGCAATATCTAATGACTTGAGCATTTCCAATGTACTACTAGTAGAGAGCTTGAACTTCAACCTATTGTCGGTAGCTCAATTGTGTGATCTTTGTTTCAAGTGCATATTTGGTGTGGATGATGTAGAGATTATAAGTGTAGATGGCTCTAATTTGATATTCAAAGGATTTAGATATGAGAATCTATACTTGGTTGATTTCAATGCTAGAGAAGCTCAATTGTCAACATGTTTGCTCA